CCTCCCCTCCTTCCTCTCTCCCCCCTCTCCTCCTCCCTTCCCTCTCTTCTTCACCTCCTGGTCCCCGACGGAGCCCCCCGTGCATGTGTCGCAACCCACTTTCTTTCGCCTCTGTTATTAAGTTGTTAGTCATGGCAGAGACCGGGGAATCTGGCGCAGAACTGTGGGCCTCTCCGATGAGGGGAGGGGGAGGGGGAGGGGAGGAGGAGGGGAGGGGGGGGGGGGAAGGAGGGAGAGGGGGAGAGAGGGAAGGGAGGGAGGGAAGGAGGGAAGGAGAGGAAGAGGGAGGAGAGGAGGGAAGGAGATGGAAGAGGGAGAGTGAGGGAGGTGTGATGGATGGAGGGGGGAGGAGGGAGGAGGAGGGAAGAGGGAAGGGGGAGGAAGGAGGGAGGAGAGTGAGAGTGAGGAGGAGGAGTGAGGGGAGAAGGAAGGGAGGGGGATAGGGAGTGATGATGAATGAGTTGAAGGAGGAAGGAGGGGGTGAGTGGGAGAATAAAGTGAGTGAGTGAGGAGCTTTGTGAGCGAGAAAATGAGTCTTTAAGTAGGTATTTTAATGAGTAAGGAAGAGGAAAAGTTAGTGGATTAATGAGTGAGTGAGGATATCAGTTAGTAAGAAAATGAGTGAATGATTGGGTGGAAATATTAATTTGTAAGAAAATGAAAGAATTAATGAGTAGGGATATTAGTTAATGAGACAGTGAGTGAGAGAATGTTTTGAGTATATATGAGTAATTGAATGAGGGAGTGAGGATGTTATAATGAGTAGATGAGTGAGGGAGTGGACAAAAAAAATGATACGAGAGTTCGAAGAATATGAGTGAATTTAATGAGTGAAGAAGAGTATTTGTAAGGGAATGAGTGGATGAGTGATTGGATGAAGAAGTGAGTGACTGAGTGAATGAGCGTGAGTGAGTGTAATTTCGAGATGAATTGTTCTTGTAGTTCTAATTATTATTAAATGTTATAAATGTGACGTTTTTTATGTTGATTTTCACAACTGTTGTGATTATTATGGTTATTTCTCTTGTCATTTTTTTCTTTCTTCTGCTTCCTCTTCTTCTCTTGTCATTCTTTTTCCTTCTTCTTCTCCTGCTTCCTTTTCTTTTTCTTAAGGCTTTGTTCCCGGATTTTGTCACGCCGTCAAGATCAGGTGATAGGACTGGTACTGACTGCATGCTATGTGGTATGAGTCAGCCTTTTTGTATTTCCTCTCTCTCTCTCTCTCTCTCTCTCTCTCTCTCTCTCTCTCTCTCTCTCTCTCTCTCTCTCTCTCTCTCTCTCTCTCTCTCTCTCTCTCTCTCTCTCCTTCTCTCTCTCTCTCTCTCTCTCTCTCTCTCTCTCTCTCTCTCTCTCTCTCTCTCTCTCTCTCTCTCTCTCTCTCTCTCTCTCTCTCTCTCTCTCATCTCTCTCTCTCTCTTCTCCTTCTCTATCTATCTATCTATCTATCTATCTATCTATCTCTCTTTATCTATCTATCTATCTATCTCTTTCGTTCACTTTCTCTCGCTCTCTGTATTCGTCTATCTATCTATCTACCTATTTACCTATCTCTGTTTGGCTTTATTCTCTTGTCTCTTTCTCATTTTTTTTTCTTTTTATCTTTTTATCTGCCTTTCTCCTTTCCTTTCCTCTCTCTTTCTCCTTCTCTCCCTCTCCCTCTCTCCCTCTCTCCCTCCTCCTATATCTCACAATGTTATTGTATCTTAAATCATTTACCTTCACTTTATACCATTCTTTTCCATTATTATTATTTTTTTTCTTGTATTGTTCCCTTTTTTATTAATTTCTCGACCCATTGTTCTTAATCGAAGTGTGTCTTTTGTCATTCTTCGTCTCCGCTTTTTCCTTTTAGATTTTGCGGACTGATATCGGAGGCGAAAAAAGGGAGGAAGGGAGGGAGAGGGAGTGGAGGTGGAGTGGGGGGGGGGGGAGGGAGGGAGGGAGGGGGGAGGGAGGGAGGAGGAGGTGGAGGAGGGAGAGGAGGGAGAGGGAGTGGAGGAGGAGGAAGGAGGTGGAGTGGGGGGAATGGAGGAGGGAGAAGGAGGAAGGTGTGAGGAGGGAGAGAAAAAGGAGGTGGAAAAGGGAGGAAGGAGGGAGTGGAGGAAAAAGAGAGAAGGAAGGAAGGAAGAAGAGAGAAAGGAGAAAGGGAGAAAGGAACGAACGAACAACGAAGGGGAAGGATAGAGAGAGAGAGAGAGAGAGAGAGAGAGAAGAAGAGAGAGAGAGAGAGAGAGGAGAGAGAGAGAGAGAGAGAGAGAGGAGAGAGAGAGAGAGATGGGAGGGAAAGGAAATGGTGAAAGGAGGGAGGAAGGATGACAGGGGGAAAGGAGCGAGGAGGGAGGGAGGGAGGAAGGAGGAAAGGAGCGAGGAGGGAGGGAGGAAGTGAGACAGACAAACAGACAGATTCTCTCTCTATATTACTCCTTGCGAAAACAGAGGCGCTGACTCTGTTAAAACAAGATAAAAGGGAGAAGGTGAAATGCAGCGCTGATGGAGTGTTATTGGACGGCTGAAATGGAGGAGGAGGAGGAGGAGGAGGAGAGAGGAGGAGAGGAGGAGGAGGAGGAGGAGGAGGAGGAGGAGGAGGAGGAGGAGGAGGAGAGGAGAGGAGGAGGAAGGAGGAGAATAAATAATTATGATAAGAAGAGAACGGAGGAGAAGAAGAAGATGGAAGAGGAGAAGATGAAAGAAAAGAGAAGGAGAATAATAAGAAGATAAGGAAGGAAGAAGGGAAAACGAAGAAGAAAAAGAAGAAGAAGAAGAAGAAAAGGAAGAAGGAGGAGGAGAAGAGGAAGGAGAATGAGAAGGAGAGAAAGGAGGAGAGAAGAAGATGGGAAGGAGCAGAGGAAGAAGAAAAGAAGGAGGAGAAGAAAAGAGAAAGGAGAAAATAGTAATAAAGAAGGAAAAGAGGAGAGGAAAAGAAGGAGGAGGAGGAAGGAAGGAGAAGGGGAAAGAGGAGGAAGGAATGAGAAGAAAGGATGATTGGAGGAATTGGAAGACAATCCGACCAAAATAGGATGAAGCGGCGAGGAAGAAGAGAGACAGAAAAGTGGAAAAGGAGATGGAGTGTGAAAAAGAAAAGGGAACAAAAAAAGAAAGAACAGAGAACAGAAAGGAAAAGGAAGAAAAAGAAGAAGATGATTAGCAACAACAACAACAACCTCACAACAACGAAAATGGGATGAGGGGAGAAGGAAGACGAGGAAGGAAGGAAGCGAGGAGGCAAAGAGAGGCAGACCGTACGACGACAGCTGTTTTGGAGGGCGTGGCGGGATAATGTCGCGGGATAGGGGTCGCGGGGTACGGCGGAGAGACCCGAATCAGGGTGCCATTAGAGGTCTCTAATTTATTTGCTTTCGAAGGATCTGAGTTCTTGAGTCTTCTTGGTCTCTCTCTTTTCTTTGCTTCCTTTTCGTTTTTTTTTCGGTTTTCCTTTTATTTTTTCGTTAAAAAAAATCTTCGATGATGAGGAAGAGATTGGAGATGAGGAGAAGGAGGAGGAGGAGGAGGAGGAGGAGGAGGAGGAGGAGGAAGGAGAAGAAGAAGAAGAAGAAGAAGAAGAAGAAGAAGAAGAAGGAAGAAAGAAAAAGAAGAAAAAGAAAGAAAAAGAAAAAAAGAAAAGAAAAAGAAAAAGAAAAGAAAAGAAAAGAAAAGAAAGATAAAATAATAAAATATAATAATAAAATAATAATAATAATAAATGATAAAAAGAATAAGAATAAGAATAAAGAAGAAGAAGAAGAAGAAGGAGGGGGAGGGGGAAAAAGGGGGGAGAGAGGAGGAGGGAGGAGGGGTGGAGGGAGGGGAGGGGAGGAGGAGGTGGAGGAGAAAGGGAATGGAAGGCGGGGCAGGGGTAGAAAGTTCACCCCGGATTTTGCTACTTTATTAATGGAGTCTTGCGTAAGAACTAACCCTTTCTTCTCTCTCTGTCTATCTATCTACCTATCTATATATCTAATCTTCCCCTCCCTCCTTCCTTCTCCTCTTCCCTTTCCCTCCCATTCCTCCCTTTCCGCTTCCCTCTCCTCCATCCTCCCCTCTTCTCCCTCCCTCTCGCCTCTCCCTCCTTCCTTTAGAGTGAAGGTGAAAATTGCGTTTCCTCCCCCCCACCCCCCCCCCCTCCAACACTGGTCGTGTTGGGGATCTCAGGAGATTGCAATGCAGGCCATACTGTGCAAGTTGCATGCGGTTCCCTCGCTCTCGATTGCTTCTGCAAGTCGGCCACCAAGTCGTGAGGTTGGGACAAGAGGATTTTTTTTTGTTTGTTTTCATTTATTCGGTTTGTATGTTTCTGCTTGGTTGTCTTGATTTTAATGTGTGTGTGTGTGTGTATATATATATAATATATATATATATATATATATAATATATATATATATATATATATATATATAATATGTATATATATATATATATATATATATATATATATATATATATATATACATACACATATATATATGTGTGTGTGGTGTGTGTGTGTGTGTGTGTGTGTGATGTGTGTGTGTGTGTGTGTGTGTGTGTTGTGTGTGTGTTGTGTTGTGTGTGTGTCTATAGGCGTTAATATGATCGTCCGTAATGATAGTCACTTGAGGTTGCTTCGTGTCGATCGTCACATGATTTCTGGGTCGACCGCGAAGTGAAAATTTCTAAATTGAAGGCAGTGCGATAGTGATTTTAAATTACCTGGAAAATTGATATACGTCTTGAAAGAGATTATATCGTGTATTATATTGAGAATGATAGTGATACAAGGATGAAGAAACATAATAGTGGATAATGATATGATAATGACAATAACAGCATTATCGGTATTACGTATTTTTTTTTTTTCTCTCTAAAGTATCTGTTATCTTATGTTGCCTTTTTAGCGATAGATTTCGAGGTACAAAAAGGCCGCTTAAAGAAACACGTGGATTTGTAGGCCTACATTTATTTTGCCAATTAAAAGATATAAATGTAAAATGATAATGATATTAATGATTTAAAAAAGTGCGAAG